ATCCCAGGCCCCTGGTGAGTTTTCATCTACAACTACTTTTTTTTTTTTTGGATGGGGGGAGAGGCAATAGGAGTTAAGTGACTTGCTCAGGGTCACAAAGCTAACAAGTGTCTGAGGCAGAATCTGAACTCAGGTCTGTCTGACTCCAGAGCCAGTGCTCTATCCACTGCGCCACCTAGCTGTCCAGTAACTTGAGCCCAGGTTTCTGGCTTCAATTACTGTATTCCTTCAACTACAACAGAGCTAGCTAAATGTAATGGTTGATTATTGATTCTTTTTTTCCCTCAACACAAAGGGAGTACTTAATTTGGAAACAGTTCGCATTCCAGAGCCCTCCCACCCTTACCCCCCCAAGTCCCTCCCTCCTTCTCTTCCTTTTTCTAAATCCCGGTCATCTTCCAAGATCCAGCTCAAATCTCATTCCACGAAGCCTCCCCTGACAACCTCAACTCCCATTGACCTCTCCCTTCTCTGAACTCCTTCAGTCCTTATCTTGGGCACCTAGACAGGTCAGCATGTAATTATTCTCTGGTTGCTTCATTGTCTTGGTCTAGTCGTCCCCCACTCCCCACCCCACCCTGTAGCCCCATGATACTGTCATCTCCTTGAAAGCAGGGACGGTGCCATTGGTTTTCCTTTTTGGTCTTTGTATAGGGCTGGGCTCAAAGTAAACCCTTCATAGTCATAGATCATTAGGGTCAGAAGGGACCTAGTCCAACCTGTTCATTTTAAAGATGAAGAAACTGAGGCCCAGAAAGGGGAAGGAGCTTGGCCAAGGTCACCCAGCTAGTTGGTGACAGAGCTGGCACTGAAGCTGAGGTCTCTTAACCTCCAGGTCATTGCACCTTCTATACCTCACTACCTCTCTCACACTAGAAAATAAGTGGAGGATCACAGACGATAGGGCTGGAAGGGACCTTAGATGTCATCGAGTCTAACGTCTCATTTTACAGATGGACATGGCCGTCCTGAGAAGCAAAATGACGTGCCCAAGGTCATACAGGTAAGTGCTAAACAAGTTTTCTAACTAAACCCTGATATTTGTTGATGAATAATCTCGGATACACTTGGTCCTCCAGTCTGAGGGTTCTTAACCTGGAGTCCATGCATTTGGTGGGGGAAAAAAATCACATCTTCATTTTCACTAATATTTGTAACCCCGTGTATTTTATTTTATGCATTCCCAAAGTACTAGATTGAGAGAGGGTAGCCTGCATCCAATCAAGAGAACATAGAACTCTAGCCCCAGTCACATCCCGATGTGGTCCTCTTGGCATTAGAACCGAGAGGAAACTATTCTCACAGGATTTAGAGCTGGGTAGGACTTTAGAGGTCATCTGGTCCAAACCACCCCACCCCTTGATTTAACAGATAAAGAAAATGAGGCCCACAGGGGGAGGGGGGAAGATAATTTGCCAAAGTAATATAGAGAGTTGGGATTCAAACCCAGGTCCTCAAATTTCAAATCTAGCCCCTTCCATTATAAAATGTGGATAATCTCCTCCTCACCCTTCTTCCAACACACACACACACACACACACACACATACTCATTCACTCACTCACTCTGGCTGGGACACCTCCACTGTGGCTCCCAAAGCAGGAGTAGGGATCACCCCAAGGAGGTTATTCTGGGGCCCTGATGGTTAATAGGCACCCTTCCCACAGGATCTCCTCAAGCTCCAAAAGGTTGAGCTCAGCCTCCTATCTCAACCACATCATCATGAAAACATTCCTGATTATAGTCAGGCTGGTCCCCCAGCAGCCTTCCTACTGGTCCAGAAGGCAGGCAACTCCAGGATCTGCCTGGGTTTTCCCCAGCACTGACCCCCCTCTATGCCTGCTTCCTCACCCCCGACTCCCACCATCTCCACTCTTGCCTTCTCCCTCTCTCCAGCCTCCTGCACAGTTCCCTGGGATACCCAGACCTGACCTTGAGGTTCCAGGAGAATCCCACTGAGTTCACATCCACCTCTTCCTGACTCCGACCAGTTAATGACAGGGGTTGATAGACACTGGGCTGTTGGAGCAAGAGCTGTGTCCTTGGGGAGGGAAGCAGGGGGGATGGCTTCTGAGGGGAAGCTCAGCTGCTACAACTTGTCCTATTCTCTCCCTCCCCCAACTGTGGGTGACTCAGAAGCAGCCTGTCCTCACTTCCCAGCTGGGCGGATGGGATGGTGGAATAAATATGGGAAAAAATTTTATACTAAAACCCGCCCCCAAAATACACGCAACTGCTGAGGGCCATCGATGAAAACCAGTCAAGCCAGTTGGGCATCATAACTCCACAAAGGAGCCCAGCCTGTGGCAGGGCCACCCTCACCCTCTTGCCCCAGGCACTGTGCCATGCATGGGGAGGGAGCAAGCCCAGACTGGACTTAGAGGACTTTTCTTTCTCCCAGTGTAGCGCAGGAAATGCCAATATGATGCCTGCCCAACCTCAGGTGGAGAAAGCTGGCCTGAGAGGCCAGCTAGATCTTTCACAGGTTCCCCCCAAAGCAGAAGCCCTACCCAGAAGATGGGGGCAGTGTGTATATGAAAGAGATACTGTCTCCATCAATCTCTACTGGGGGAGAGGAAGGGAACTTAGGTGGAAGGATACCTGGGTGCATTCTTCATATTCTTTAACTTCTGAGAAGTTTAAAGGGGTCCGTATTATAGGGGAAGAAAGGATGCCAGTGCAGCAGAGAGAAAAAAATGAGACAGAGAGATGGAGGGAGGAGGGAGGGAGAAGAAGGCTGGGAG